TCTGGCACTCAGGAGCTCAGTCTTCACAATTTGGGCTCTTCTAAACAACCACAAAGGTGACATGTAATAGTCTGTAATGTTCCTGAGGTATGAATGTATCTGAATGGCTGAGAGGCTTGAGAACATCTCTTTGCCGGTAAGTGTACCAATGAGTGTGTTTCATATAGTATTTCTCATTAGGGATTTGTGGGGCTATTTATATTTTCTGTTGTACTTGGCTGTAAGGTTGTGTAGGAAACCTTTCGATGGTCAAAGTTAAAAAGTTGCTGTGGAGAACGGGAGTAAATAGAGGTTCTTGACAAGAATTGCCAAGTATCGTTATGAGTCAATCTGAGGTGAAAGCAGGGACTGGCTTTTAATTCCAGTACTTGCCCTGTTTTTATAAATTCCCAGGCTACAAATTTTCCATTTGTAAAGTATCATACAAAAAAAGAAACCAACAACATTTAAAAAAAAAAAAAAAGATAGTACGTGGCCCACAAAGCCTAAAATATTTACTACATGATTGCCAATCCTGCATCAGAAAACGCAAATATACACCACTTCTCTGTGGTTACTTAAATTTCTCCAGCTATGTTCAACAGTCTTCAGCACAAAAGTTACAAGGACTGACTGAATGATTCACGTGGGAGCTGAAAAGGATTAAGAGAAAATGAAAATATAATTGATGTGTTGGATTGTGGGGACTAGGCTGGTCAGAAAAAGAAGTAGAGACAGAGGAGGGCTGATATATTTAAAGAAGTAGGGGGGAAAGTGGATTGGAGATCTTAAAAATTGGGATAATGAGAGTAAGAGAGCAATGAGAATATTGGAGTTTGAATGAACTCTGGGTACTGAATGTGAGTCTGATATTTCAGAGACAAGTCAGTTCCAAATTATGTCAAGGAGAATATGTCTTTGGGAGTGAGCAGCAGAAATGGGATGAGGGAAGATGGCTGGAGTTGAAGAGATTAAGGAGGTTTAGGATTAAGTCCTGGGCAAAAATTATCCATATATGAAAATTTAAATATAATAAACCAGTGTGCTTTATTTCCTCTGTAAATCACCCACCATGCTTGGTGTGACTGAACCCAATGTGAAGTCACTGAAAACAAAGTTGGGAAGAAATATAGTCTGCTCTCAGGAAGCTGTGGGAGCCAGCTCTAGCATACCACTGAAAGTGAACAAGACCTCTAGAAGAAAGATGTGATGTTCAAGAGCTTTAAACAAACAGGGAAAAAAGAATAAGAATATTCTTCTAGTTCTGGGACGATGAAAACAAGAAATGGAGACTAAAGAAGAGGCCAAACCAATGTCATATTCCGAATATATGACCCCTTGTTCAGGAAGACTCTTAAAAGATCTTACTTATAGGCCAAGGAGTTCCTTGGGATAGGGGACACATAGCAATTCTTCATTTTCTTAGGATTGATCAGTATTATCAGGATTGTTTTTTGAAGCTTAGAGCTGACACTTTAATTTCCAAACCAAGTACTGGAAGGCTCTGACAATTCTATTCCAAGAAAGGATATAGATTATGTCGGGGGCAAGGGAAGAGAAGAAACATTTTAATATTTTGTTAGAGAAAACCTTCTCTCAGCCCCTGAAATACCAAAAGAAAGGTACAATTGGATGACATCATCAATTATCTTTGTTCCAGCAAGGTTCCCATTTGAGGCAGGTAATAGAAAAACAGCTACAAAAGGAAAACTCTCTTTATATGCTCCTTTATCTTGGAGAAGTTCAATGTATTTGAGTGTTCAAAAATTAGGAAACACACACAAAAACTCATCAGTATAGATTATTTCAGATAGAAAATAAAGAACCTTACAGATAAGGTTCTTGGGGGGTATGGGGAGGGTAATCTCTGTTTCTTAAGATATCCACGAACATATACTATATTGTGCTGAGAGACTCAACAACCAGAAAATATCAGCACCTTAAAACAATCGTCTATTGCACATATACATCACATCTTAGCAACCACAGAGAAAGGAAAAATGTAATGAGCCACTCACTGGCTCTGAAAGCTTTCAAATGGAATTAACACGTGATTGATCCATTCATGTTTCATTGGCCAGAGGAACTTACTTGGCCACTCCTCAGTTCAAAGAAATGGGGTATTTCACTCTCCTACAAAGCCTGAATATTTGTAAACAATTATATAGACTACCAGTTTTAGCATTTTGAAATGTTCGTCTTACTGCTTTAAAAAAAAACCAGTCAGTGAATTTTGGCCTAACATGGATTTATCTCCTGATGGCCAAGGGATCTCCAAAATAGGCATGAAAGATGAAGAGTGGATGTGAGACTTAGGGGAAAGGGAGTGATTGAGCCAGAAGGCCAGTGTGGTTGCTGACGGTGAATAGACGGACCAGGGGTTCAGTTAATGACAATGACTAGTAAGGCAGATGGTTCGTTCGCATCTAAAGACAGTAAGCCTCAAAACAGGTCAATTTTTTACAATAAATTAAAAACGAGTAAGTATAAGAAGTTAAAGACTGCTTCCACTTCCCCCAGTGTTCCCCTGACTGGCAAAGGTAATTTGAGGGGTTATGATAAGTAAATGTACCAACAGACCTGCCTACAAAGAACCTGGAAAATTTTCAGCACCCAGTGAGATGAGAGGAGCAAGCTAAAAGAGCAGAGTAGAAAAGAATCCATCATGTGCTCATTACACCAGAAAAGCTAAAGCGATACAGTGCTTGAGGGGGGCAGTACCATGACATCACAGTAACAAAGACACATCATAATTTGTGGGAAGAAAAAGCACTGAACATTCGAAGCCACGCATCACAAATCTTTGAATCCCAAAATCTTCTCTAATTTTACCAGACCCAAAATAGTAATATTAAAAACTGAGACAGATGTGTTATTTCTGGGAGGTCTCAGAATAACTTATGATCTGCTGTTTTAAATTCACAGGGAAGAAGCAGTGTGATATAACCATTGTCAGGACAAAATAAGCTTCATTTTGACATCATTTGAAGCAAAATTTGTAAAATAAGAACAAAAGGCAACACTGACATAGTGCTCCCTTTGAAAGCAGATTAAATTATAGATATAATAATCAGGATGATATCAGTTTCCGATATATACAGTTTTAGAAATGCTTTGTCTAAAAGTAAATGTATAATTTCCTGATTTTGATCATTATACTGAGGTTATCAAAGATTATGTCCTTGTTTTTAGATATACACACTGAAATATTTAGGGCTAAAAGGACATATATTTGAAATTTCTTCTCAAATGATTCAGGACAAAAAATGTATATATACTTATAATATAGGTAGTAAGAATGATAAGGCAAACAGTAAAATGTTAACATTTAAAGGATCTGGGTGATGGATATATAGGGATTCTTTGTATTATTTTTACTTTTCTATAAGTCTGAAATTGTTTCTAAGTTAAATGTTAATGTATAATGTATAAAATTTCAAGGAATAAATTCTTAGAGATTGAATACCTCTTCTTCGTGAAAAAAAATGAGAGCTACAGAAGTAATTATTGAAGATGGCAGTGCATGGGCAAGCGTTGATAATGGAGATTTATTTGTTTATCACCAAGTACTTACTGAATATTCTGCACCCTACCAAAAATAGACATTCTTCAGTCTTCTGAAAACTCATCACCATTTTATATGGTTAATGACATTCTCAATACATAATATGACACACTTTGATCTAGTGCTTATACTATCTGGTGAATTGAGGCATCGAACACAGGGAAGGAACAATAGAATTAATTAAAATTATGGTACTAGATTTGTAAATGGACTCAGATATAACTCTCATCAACATACACAAACAGAAGATTAATAGTAAACTAAATGAAAATATATCAGTCACTGAAGGCAAAGCTATATTTAGTTGTTTTTATTTTATGGTAAAACTTAATATTCAGGCAGGGAAAATATACATTTACTTGTCAAATAGCATAAAGTAATTCCTTTATAGTTTAGAAATAATTTTATTTCTGAGAAATATTAAAAACTGTAGGCTTTCAATCATGTACTTAACTGTAATCTAGTCAACATTTAGAGGCCTTCTACCATGTGTCAGGCACTACTGTGGGCACTGAGGATATAAGGTAGAGAATAAAACCAAAATATTTCCTGTCTTTTTTGTGCTTACATTGTAGAGAGAATAACAAAAAACAAGATGAAAAAAGTAAATATACATATAATGTTATATCAGTAACACTATATATTATTTACTTTGTTAAAGTAAAAAGAAATAAAATAAAAAAATAAGAGAAATAAGAAATGTTCAAGGAGAGGATGAAATTTTAGATAAGGTTGCCAGAAAAGTAATCACAAAGAAGGAAATGAGAAAATAAGCCATGCAGATGTCTGAAAAAAGAGCATTCCAGAGAGGGAACAGTGAACACCAAGACCCTGAGGCAGTAGCACACCTGGTGGGTTGAGAAACAGCAGTTGGCCTCTGGCTGGAGCAGAAAGTAACAAGGGAGAGAATAGAAGATGATGCCAGAAAAGTACCTAGGACATAGATCACATAGGACCTTATAAAAGTAAAGACAGTGGCTTCTACTCTGAGTGAGCTGGGAAGCCGTTAGCAGATGCATAACGTGATCCGTCATATGTTTTTCAAGATCTCTTTGACTTCTGTAGAAAGAATAAGCTGCAGGAAAGCAAGTCCAGAAGCAAGAAAATTAGTTAAGAAATTATAGTAATAGTCCAGGTAAGAGGTGACAGTGGTTCAGATCAGAATAGTATCAATGATGGTGATTGATTTTTTTTTAATATCCAGGCAATCTTTGCTTTGAATGGACTGCAGAACTATAATATGTCCCTGCTAACTAAAACCACATATCTTAATAATCAATACTCAATCTTATCTTAGTAATCAATGGGAAAAATTACAATTGTTCTCAATTTTTTTTTCTCAAAGCATTGAAAACTTCCTAGTGTCAGTTATAAACATATAGGAGAATGAAAGAATAGTATAGTCTTTCATTTATTTAGGACATTGTAATTTAAGCCATTAGAAACATTGAGATTTAGTGTTTTCTTTGAAAAAAAAAAAAAAAAAAAAAAACCCTTCAAGAGTCATTTGAACAGAATTTGCCCTTTTCTTTTTGTAAAACTTAAAATAATGAGCAAGCATCTCTCCTATGCCTTGGTGAATGGTGGTGCTCCTAAGTCTATGTGGGCTTCAAACATTTTATCCTTTGCACTTTCGATGTCTTGAAATACCTCCTAGAGTTCTCTTAGTGTAAAGTTATTTGTCAGCATCACCTTCTCTGGGGCATTCATCTTTTTTTTGCCAAGACCTCTTTCTTCACTTATGTTGATAAGTCTATCTTAACTAAGTCCCTCTAGCGACAAATCTAGAGTCTCTTGAACTATGGCTGTGCCAACATTTCCCTGAACAGGTGTTTCTTCTATAACTCCACTTGTGTTCGATTTGAATTTCACTTCAAGCATTATCATTTTTCATTTCTTTGCTACATTTTAATCTTTGTGGGTCAGTCCCTTTTTCAATTATCCATTTTTGCAAAATGCTGTGTCGGTTTATCACCAAGAAATGAAGAGGCAATGAGATCGCACACTTTGCTGTCTGTGCATGAACTAAATAACAAATGTGCAGTGACCAAACACCAACAGGCTTTAAAAGAAACAAAGTGATAGGTCATTGATTATGATGCACATTTCTCATTTATGTAAGAATATGTGGACTGAAGAGTAAGCAGTGAAGTTTGTACTTTATGTACTTACTCATAGTTAATATACTGTGGTAACTTAAATTTGAACTGTGTTATTGGTGAACTGGTATTACTTAATTAAACCAATGATAACTGCAATTCATGTCTATCAGAACCACAAAGTGAGGACTACCTGTATTTTAAAGGCAGAGATAATAGGATTTTTTGGAAGATAAGATGTAGGTGCAAAAAAACTCTGTGTCACAGCACCTGTCGCAAGTGCAATTTTACATTTGTGGGTGATATTATCTAATTACTGACTGTCCCTCTTTGATAAGCAGCTCCATCAGGGAAAAGACCACACCTAACTTTGTTTACCATTATGCAGCTGACATTGCACTTCTCCAAACAGTATCTAAGTCTCACAACAACCTCATGAGGCATTACTAATGTCATTTTGCAGATGAGGAAACCGAAACTCAGAAAAAATTAATTTAGCTTAGTTTCGCATAACTAGTAAATGACACACCAAGACTCAGATTCATAGCTTTGGAATTCCAGATTCTCCAGACAGTGAATTCAGTACTCTTTCCTTTGAACCACCGCACACCTCCCAATTACAAATAGAGCAGAGTCCTATTAAGCCTTTCTTTGGAAACCATAGCATCATGTTTGCCATAAAGAGTTACCATGTAGAAGCTGTAGAATATAAGTGAGAACAGAAATAAAACAAATGTGGTGAGTTTGAATTTCCTGTCTGTATAAATATCTTACAAAAGTTTCCATGTAAATTCTGGTCTTAACCTCCATGACATGGATATATAAAATATTTCAGGACTTCTTTGTTATCATAACAATAAGACTGGCAGTGCCTAATTCAGCTTTTCCAAACTTCTAATTACAATATCTATGAAAATCCACAAAGACAAACCTGGCAACTATACTGACAGGAGGCAAAAGACTATATCCTAGACTTCAGAGGAATTTCCACTATGTTCACAAACAATAAGGATTAATTAAGAAATGATCCTGAATTCCTGAAACTCTAGCCTGCGAATTAGAACATGAAGGAGAGGTACCTGGAAAATAAGAAAAGCTTTGACTCACACCACTGTCCATACCTAACTCAAAAGTGTCTGGTTGCATTTATCAGAAACCCACCTCTCTTTCCCAAAGGAAACAACTTCTCTCTCTTCCTTCACCATTTTCAAAGCTTGCATTCAGATGTTATTTCTCTCAGGAAGCAACAGTAACAGAAATCAACACGACAGGGCAATGTGAGGCAGACTTCTTGATCCAATATAATGGTCAACAAGACTATTGTCCTGGCTGTTTTAACATTCAAAGTAGTCTCTGTAAAAATATAAAATCATCGCTTTGTTACTAGCATATTGTTATTTTAGCAAGTAAGATGCTTAGCACACATAACTCAGCCATTCCAATTTCATTTCCCATATGACATGAATTTCTAACAAGTAATTTTAGAACTAACAATAATTTTTTAAATTATCTAAAATTTTAAAATTTTCATTATTATACAATAGCCTAAAGTATCCAATTAAATGTACATATAATACTGAATACTAATAGAACCGACAGAAAACATTACTTGAAAATATCCTGTGTAATCTAGAGCTGAGAATAAGACTGCATAATGTAACATAACTATCCCCTCTTACAACCTTTTTATAATAAATACAAAATCAAAATTAAAACATTATGTAAAAAGAAACACATTGATGATATCCCCAAATGAAGACAGAGATTCTTTCCACTTGGGGGACATTTCCCTATTTGTATCCTCAATGGGGATAAATTAAGAAATGCATTC